TGTAAATGTACAGTGCCTTGCACATAATAGGTACTCAAATGATAAGACACTTCCACTTGGCTTTACGCAGAAAAAAAAGCTCACCTTTTATTATAAGCATCACTAGCAAACTGTTAACACACTCATCAGAGCACAAATTTAATAAGTAAGCTCTTCTTTAGCAATTTTTCCTGGGTGCACCTTACCCTGCGATGTCAACTCCTAAGTCTCAGGGTGCCAACATTGATATTGCTTTCAAAAAGTTTCAGACAGTTGAAAGTGCCTCAACATAAGGCTGTAGATACAAACGCTTTAATACAAATGCTTTAAAAATATTTGACTTTTAATTAAATAAACAGCAGCTATGGACCACCTCTGAACCAAAACTTCAATTTAATCCTGGCTTTCGCACTAACTAGGTAAGTTACTCTAGGTAAGACAACCTTTTGTGCCTTGGTTCCTTTCTGTTAAACTGAACAGTATAGAACAGAACCCTTAATAACTCAAAATAAGAGGCTAGGTAGGCATGTTGGCATATGCCTGTAATCCCAGATCCTTGAGAGGCCGAGGCAGGAGGATCACAAGTTTAAGACCAGCCTCACAATTTAGCAAGACTCTTTCTCAAAATGGGGCTATAACTCAGTGAAAGAGGACCAATCCCTAGTACTAGGGTTCAATCCCTAGTACTAGGAAAATGAATGAGTGAATGAATAAATAAAAGAAGGAGGCTACTTTTTTTTTTTTTTTTGGTGGTGCTGGGGAACAAAGCCAGGGCCTTATGCAAAGAGGCAAGCACTCTACCAAATGAGCTGTATCCCCAGCCCAAGGCTACTTTTTAATTACCAATACCCACCCTATTTCCTTAGGGAATGTCTTGGGTTAGAACAGAATCTTCCCTATGAAAATTTTTATTCGGGCTGGGGATGTGGCTCAAGCGGTATCGCACTCGCCTGGCATGTGTGTGGCCCAGGTTTGATCCTCAGCACCACATACAAACAAAGATGTTGTGTCCGCCGAAAACTAAAAAATAAATATTAAAAAAAAAAGAATTCTCTCTCACTCTCACTTTAAAAATTTTTTTTAAAATTCATTTTTACTATTTAGTCTTACACTTTAATATAGGTCAACATACTTTGTTTATATAGTGCTGAGAATTGAACCCCTGGTGCTCTGCCACTGAGCTACAAGCCCAGCCCTTTTTATTCTCAAGCAGGGCCTCACTAAATTGCCCAGGCTGGTCTTGAATTTTCATTCTCCTGCTTCAGCCTCCTAAGTCAATGGGATCACATGTGTGTACCAACATGCCTGGCCTGAAGCTCAACTTGAAAAGACTATTTGTTTAATTACTAAACAAGATGGCTTCTTTTTATACACTTACCTCAAGAAAGACAGACTTCCAGGCAGGCCTGGTGGCACTCGCCTGTAATCCCAGCAATTTAGGAGGCTGAGGCAGGAGGATAGCAAGTTCAATGCCAGCCTCAGCAACTTAGTGAGGACCTAAAGAACTTAGAGCGGCCCTAAACAACTTAGTGTCTCAAAATAAAAAATAAAGAGGGCTGGGGACGTGGCTCAGCAATTAAGTAACCCTGGATTCAATCCCTGGTACCAAAAAAAGAAAAAAAGAAAGGTATACTTCCATACCAAGTAGGTTTCTTCTTCTTTTTTTATGGTGCGTGTGCATGTGCCTGAGTGCTGGGAATTGTATCCTGGGCCTTGCACATGCTTTGCAAGCACTCTGCTGTTCAGCTACAACCTCAGCTATTTTCTATTTTGAGACAGGGTCTCGTTATGTTATCTAGGCTGGTGTGGAACTTTCCAGATCCTTCTGTCTCAGCATCTGGAGTAGCTGGGATTACAGGTGTGCACCACCACACCTGGCTCCAAGTAGGTTTCATGGAAAGAAAATTTTAGTAACTGAACTGAATATTAACACACAGAAAATATAAATGGATCACTGGCCTTAAGTTCAAAATATATTAGTATTTACAAAGAGCTAGCCTTTGAATGGGTACTATGTGCTAGTCACGGTGCTATAAAGCGTTTTATGTTTATTATCTCATTTAGTCCTATGAGGCAGGTACTATTATTATCAAATCTATTTCATAGAAGGGGAACTGGAGCTTTAATTCTGTACTTTGCCCTACTAGTCAGTGAGAAATCTATTCTCTGAATTCAAGACTATCTCAAAACTCAAGAAGGACTTTTACCTCCACTTCTGCTTGAAATTGTTGTCTCGAGATACAACAGTACATCTTAATTTAAAATCCCCAGAAAATTAAAATTATAGCACAAACTTCATAAACAGTGACTATATCTCTCTTTCAGCCTTCTCTTTAATATGCCAAAATAATTCTAGACCCTGAGCTTTCCTAAACCTTTAATCATTTATGGTGCGCTCTGCTGTACCTACCCATTAGAACAATTTAAAAAAACATTAACACAGTGCCAATTATTTTCAAAAGCCCAGAGATACTAATCAAGTGATCCTAATAGTCTTAAACACTATTCTCAAACCAAAAAAGATAAATGGAGATTGGGAAACTTGCATTCTAAAGTGCCACCATCCAGATAAAATTACCCTGTGAATTAGAGTAATTTCAATCAGATCCTGTAAAATTGAACATTTTTCTCAAGACCAGAATTACAGAGTAACTGTAGCTCAAGGGCCCAAACTCTGAAGAATAAAATGGTTTTCCACGTGGCAAATTCAATAGCAAAAGGCAGGCAGTAGGAACTAGGGAAAACAGCAATAGTTTTTTAAAAAAGCAGCAATAAATAAAATTACAAAATTATTAACCTATTTGACTCATGGCCATTCTACCTTAATACAAGATTATAATTACTCTCAAAAATCACATGCTGCTTAAGTAAGGCCTCATGTCTTACTACATGGTGCCCTCAGTTTTAAGTTAACATATTACATACTAAGAAAAACTCACATTTCATAAGCATTAAAAACTCAATTATGTTTTTTTGGGGGGCGCATGTATTTATGACTATAACAGTCATTATCAGGCAAACTAGTTTATATAAAAATAAAATACCAGAGTAAGTGTATAATTTGTTAATTCTCTAACTCACTAGTGAGTCTCAGAATTGTTTTCTAAACCATAAGAATGGCACTTATAAACAATTTATATTTGTCATATCAACTATTTGGTAATAAGATATCAGATGTATTTAAAAAGAGAGGGGGTATGCTGGTCCTGGTGGTGCATGTCTGTGATCCCAGCAAATCAGGAGGCTGAGGCAGGAGGGTTACCAAAATACAGAGCCAGCCTAAGCAACTTAGTGAGGCCCTAAGCAACTTAGCAAGACCCTGTCTCTAAATAAAAAGGGCTGGAAATGTGGCTCAGTGGTTAAGTACCCCTGGCTTCAATCCCAGGTACTAAAAAAAGAGAGAGGGGATTAATTATCATACTAGAATCTATTTAATAATGCACTTACCAAGATAAACACAAAGTTATTACTTGAAGGAAGTGTAGGCAGGAGATTCTAACTCAATTGTGTGACAGGAAGTATTAGCTATGAAGTTTAGAAACAGGAATACCAAGTTTTGTTTTAGCTCAAGAAAAAAAAAAAAAGGAAAATGTGCTAGTGAATAAAGGCAAAAGAGGAAGTTCTTTTTAGAGAACCATCTGCCATATTATAAAAACAATAAAAAATTATTTCTAAAGTTAAAAAAATACTCACTTTTTCATTGGGTTTATTTTCAACTATTTCTCTGGGTATACTGGAGCTCGAATTTTTCGGTTTCCCTTAACAAGACAGCTTATGGTTCATATTTTACATTCACAAAGAGATAAGGAGGGTTTGTAACATTCAACCATTAGTTCATATCTTTTTGCTAAAGTTTGATGATTAACTTTTTTTCAACACTAACAGCATAATAATCATTTTTTAAAAGAGCCTAAGTTTCACAATGTGAATATCTCAACGCTAAAGAACTGGGTACTTAAAAATGGTTAGGATGATAAATTTTATGTTGTATTTTTAACACACAATAAGTTGCAGATGTTAATAAGAAATTACTCCACTTAAATTTAAATAATTTGTTCTGTAAATTTTGGTTAATCTAAAGCCACAATCATTTTATGCTTAATATTAAATAATTTGTTGTTGTCTTTAACAGCTGTATTAGTGTAATGTAATTAATTTTTAAACACACTTCTACACATGGGCAATATCTTTAATCCTGAACCAGAGTGAAATTGAAGCGTTATTCTCAATTAGCATCTTTCAAATCATCTGAATTACTTTTCCCAACAAGTACTAGATATGAAATTATAAGTGTGTTTCTACTTCAATTGATTCCTTCATTCGGTTAAGTGCAAATCTTGAAATTAAGAGAGCAAGATCCCTAAATGAACAGGCTTTTCTTAAAGCAGTTGTGCTTTGGACATGAGGTAGGCGACATTTCTCACACCTCAGCCTTTAGCAGGATTGACAGCCAAGAATGCTAAGGTCAACCATTTCCCATCACTGTTCACGCCTGGCTCAGTCCTATTAAAAATTTGTCAGGTTTTTGTGAAGTATCATCAAGTTCTCCTAGTAGTGTGCAACCTAGGTTATTATGGTTGGCCTTGAGGAGGCCCTGGAACAACCAGCTTGACTTGGTCATCTCTGGGAAGTCTCCAGGAAAACGAAAGGAAACGCTTCAACTTTGCGCAAGCCCCTTTCTTAGTCACACCTAACTCCCTTTCCAGTGAAGAACTGTATTCTGGAAAGATCTACCCCTTTCCAACTCAAATGTCACTCCCAAATCAGCTGCTAGAGGGGCAAGCAGAGCTCAACCCACTCCCTCTTCTTCGAGCACCTTCTCGAGTGCCGCAGCCTCCCTACAACCTATACAACCGGGGCCCGGGCTTACGACCCCAGCCCACACGCAAGGCAACCACTGCGTCTCCCTGGGGTCCTGGCCTGGGCGGCAGTGGCCAGCCCAGGGGATCCGCTCCTGATCCAGAGGGGGCGACCTGAGCAGGTGTGAGGGGTCCCCCGGCTGAGCGGAAAGATGGTCTCACCTTGACCCTGATTTCGTAGGTGGTAAAGCGGCCCCGGCCGACCCCCACGGTCTGCGGGTTGCTCACATCGATCTCGAGGAAGTTGCTGGGCGGCCCGTAGGCGTCATTCAGGTTCTGCGGCTTGGTGATCAGCCGCCGGGTGTCCGCCACGGTCTCCGCCATCGGGCTCTCTCCGCCCACTCCGCGTTCCACAGACGCAGCCGCTGCCGCCCGCCGCGGGGACCCGGGGCTCGCGCGCAGCGGTCGCGAAGCGAACGAGCACGTAGAACGGGCGTTCACCCGCTCGCGAAGCTCCACCCCACGTCCCTCCAGCTTCCGCCTCTGTGCCTGGGGAAAAACAGCTGACCCTCCGGAATGCCGCGTCCCGGCCCGGGAAGCCCGGCTGAGGACCGGGAGGGGTACTGCCCGCAAGGGGTTGAGTACAAGCAGCGTCGCGGGACGTGTAGCGAGCGGGTTCCAAACGAACTACAGTGCCCACAATGCACCGGACGAGCGCGCCGCCGGGAGGGGCCCGCATGCTGGAGGGCCAGACGCCCGGGGGCGGGAGCTTCCGGTTTCCTGGTGCCTGTCTGGACCGGGCGCGGGGGTCGCTGGGCGCCGGAAACGGTCTGAGCGGTCTTGGAGGTTTGGGGGCAAAAGTTAAACCGCAAGGTAGGGGCGGTAGGACCGCAAATGTAAACAAAACTTATCCAACCATGAGCTAACATTCCCACCGCTCCACAGTGAACCCCTGAAAATGCCTCTCTAGGTAGTTTTTAATGCCTCAGATAGTCTGGCCATGAGCCTGAGTTTCACCAGACCTGTGGTTAGATTGATAAACCGAAGGCAGTAAAAAGGGGGAATAGAGGTTTTGAAAACTAGCAGAAGCAAAGCACTAACATCAAACCGGCTATATGTCTGCTCTCTAAAAATAAGATAGTGAACAGGCTGAAAGCTGCCTCGAGGATCCTTCTGGGTAACTGGCACTCTTTGGTTTCCCAGGAAGTCTCGTGTAAGTTTTGAAAGAAGTGGTATATGTGTCTGCTATTATTGATATTTAGTTAAATAAGCCTCCATAAAAAAATGGAAAAAAGATCCTAAAATGCAAGTTGTGAACGTTGAGATAGGATACATTTCAATCTCTACCTCAATAGTTCTTCTCTCAATGATTTCAACATTTTAAAAATAACAAACTTCAGTAACTCTGACCACTTTTATCTGTCCCTTAAGCAGAAAAAAAAATTTCATAATAGCTTTTTTTTTCTGGTGCTGGAGTTTGAACCCGGGGGTGCTCTACCACTAAGCTACATCCCTAGATCCTTTGTATTTCTTATTTTTTGAGACAGAGTCCCCCATATGTTGCCCAGGCTGGCCTTGAATTTGTCCTTTTCCTACCTCAGCTTTCCCAGTTTCTGGGATTGCAGGCATATGCCATTGCACCCAGCTATAGCAACCTTCTTGATAACACTAAGAAATGTTGGAATAAGAAAAAATTATTTAGGGGTTGAAGTTGTAGCTCCGTGGTAGAGCACTTGCCTTGCATGTGTGAGGCACTGGGTTCTAATCTCAGCACCGCATATAAATAAATAAATAAAGATCAGAGCTGGGGATATAGCTCATTTGGAGAGCGCTTGCCTCTCATGCAAGGCCCTGGGTTCAATCCCCAGCATCACACACACACACACACACACACACACACACACACATACACACACACACACAATTACTTAAGCATGATGTAGATTATTTTCCAGAAAACTTAACAATTATTTGTTCGAAAAAGACCTTCTGGTGTTCGAATTCTAGGTACTGGATATAAAAAGGTAAATAAGTCAATTACAAAGGACTGCCAAAAGATAAGCTACTAGAATTAACAAGAGAATGTAGTAGCTGGCTGAAAATAACAAATTAATAGCTTTCCTTTGTCTAGGCAATGTCTAATTGGGATAGAGAAGGAAATTATCAAAAGCCAAGAAAAAAATATATCCTATTCACAACAGCAACCAAAAGTACAATATCTAGGAAGGAAGGCACAGAATCTATCAAAACACAACTGAAATTTTATTAAAGACATAAACCAGCTGGGCACAATGGTTCACACCTGTAGTTCCAGCAATTTGACAGGGTATGAGACAGGAAGATCACTTGAGCACAGGAGTTGGAGACCATCCTGAGGAACTCAGTGAGATCCTGTCTCAAAAAAAAATCTATAGGGCTGGGGTTGTGGCTCAGCGATAGAGTGCTCACCTAGAGTGCAAGGGCCTGGGTTCTATCCTCAGCACCACATAAAAATAAATAAAATAAAGGCATTGTGTCCAACTACAACTAAAAAATATTTTTAAAAATCTACACAAAAAAAGTTCATGTTCTGGTTAGGGAGGCATAACAAAAAATGTAATCCCATCCTAAATCAATTAGAATCACAATATGATTGGTGATACCCTCCCCTTTGCCCAAGACAGGTGGATGGCCATGGATAATACCTTTTAAAAGTTTGTACATTGAAGAAAATAAGATAATAGAAGTTTTTTAATGAGTGGAAACTTGTTTTACTAATTAGTATAACTTACTAAAAAGCTACTATAAACCAAAGTATGGTATGGGCTCATTATAAAATACAGAAACAAATCACAACAAAGAACACGATATTCAACAAAAGTAGCATTTCAATTAATTGGGAAAATGATGCTGGCACAGGTGAATATCCAGGGGCAGCACAGAGCTAGTCCCCTATGTTATACCATATATGAAAAACTTCCAGATAGAATTAAAGAAAATTTAAGAGAAAGTTGTATTATCTTGAGCTAAGGAAGTGTTTCCTAAACGGTGTTGGAAACAAGCTATAAAGTCATTTAAGTACATACATTTTTAAAGAAAAAACTATATAGCCAAAGGCATTATATAGTAAAAGTGAGAAATTCATATACAATATGTAAGATAGTAAAGCCTGATATTAAAAAAAAAATCCCTATCTGGGCATGGTGGTACTCACCTGTAGTTCCAACTACTCAGGAGACTGAGGCAGGAGGATCACTTGAACCCAGGAGTTAGAGACAAACCAAGGCAACATAGGGAGACTGTCTCAAAAAATAAATTAGATAAACCCTATTATGCTCAAACTTACTAATTAAGTACATACACACTAAAATAAATATCAGATTGGCAAAATATCCAAATGGTTAGAAACATGCAGTGTTTGAATACAGGAGTTATGACATATTTTGGGGAAATAATTTGATAGTTTTTATTAAAGTTTAGAATATTTACTATCAAAAGGAAGGAAAACTTGTTAATTTGGGAAAATAAGTTAAATATTTAGAATACTTTGACCCCAAATTCCAACTCTTTCTATAAGAACTCATGATAGAAGCCAGGTGTTGTGGTGCATACCTTTAATCCCAGCTACTCCAGAGAGTGAGACAGGAACATGAGAAATTTGAGGCCAGCTGGGTTCAGTGTTGCACATGTGTAATCCCAGGAGCCAAGGAGGCGAGTCAGGAGGATCACAAGTACAAAGCCAGCCTCAGCAAAAGTGAAATGCTAAGCAACTTAGTGAGACCCAAAATAGCACTGGGGATGTGGCTCAGTGGTTGAGTGCCCCTGAGTTCAATCCTTGGTAACATCCCTAGCCCCCTCAACAAAAAAGTAAGTTTATGGCTAGCCAGGGACATTTAGTGAGATCCTGCCTCAAACAATAAAAAGGGCTGGAATGTAGCTCAGTGACAGAGCACTTGCCTAGCATGTGCAAAGTCCTGAGTTCAGTCCCCGGTGTTAAGAAAAAAAAAAAAAGAAAGAAAGAAAGAAAAACTATGCTAAATAAGGAAATAAATGCAGAAAAGTGTTTTGCATCTTTGTAATGGCTAAATCTGGAAACAGATTGAAGGCTCATCAATAAAACATGTTTGGGGCTGGGGTTGTGGGTCAGTGATAGAGCAGTTGCCTAGCATCATGAGATACTGGGTTCCATCCCCAGCACCACATAAAAATTTAAAAAATAAAGGAATTGTGTCCATCTACAACTAAAAAAAAATTTTAATAAGAAAATGTTTGAATTATAGTATAGTCAAACAGTGGTAAATTATATAATCAAGCAAATAAGTTAGTTCTGGGTTTATTTAGCAGAATATTAGAATCTCTTTTTTATAATTGGAATTGGAAGAGAATTATCCATATTAGTAAATGAAGATTACAAAATATTCTATCAACCATGATCCTTTTGTAGTGTGTGGCTGAGTGCTGTGTTGCTTTCCTGACACTCTGGAGACCTTGGGTTCTACTCCCAACACCATACAAACACAAGAAAAGGAATGAGCAGGGGATGTGGCTCAGTGGTAGAGCTCTTTTCTACTATGCCTGAGGCCCTCAGTTTGATTCCCAGGACTGTCAAAAAAAAAAAAAAAAGCCATGCTCTCATTTTGGTAAACAAAACCCTGTCAATGTATATATGTCCATTTATATTCATACTTTTGTGTGTGGGGGGGTGCTGGGGATTGAGCCCAGGGCTTATGTATCTGAGGCAAGTACTCTACATTCTAATTCATAAAAATTAGAATTTTGACACATTTATAAATTAGCAAAATGCAGCTGATTTTACTGTTTTTTATGCAGCACTTGGAGATTTATAATGTAACATGCATTTCTTTAAAAAGTTAACATAAAGATATTAAACAGTCAACTCAGAAAGCTAGGAAAAGAGCACGGAAGAAACAAATATAGAAGAAGGGCATAATAAAGATGTTGAAAAAAAGCAAGCAAGGAATTAAACAAATAAAAACCAACAGAGATGATCAAAACTAAAATCTGGTTCTTTGAGAAACTGAGTCATTTAGATAAAATCTGCAAAGGCTGACCATGTAGAATAATCAGAAGGAATGAAACACCATCACCAAAAAAGGGCTCTAACTACAGGAGAGGAATGAATGATCATGCTGTTACAGAACCAAGGTCACATTCAGTACCCATTCACAGGGACCCTACAGGCTGACTGTGCTTTCCTAGTGAGCACTGCTTCCTGTGTCCGTGTCCTTTCGGGTCTGCTCACTATTTCCATAACTTCCACTTCCTTCTGCACATCCTTAGAAACCTTACCTGTTCACCCCTCTAATCTCAAAACCTTTTTCTTTCTTTTTGGTTCTCCAAAACAAAAAGCCAACTCGACCTCCTTTTGAACCACTTCTGCTGCATCTTCTATCTTTACTTCGCAATATGCACAGGAAAGCATTGCTCTGGGAAGGAAAAGGGTAAATCTCTAAGAGAAAAAAATATCAGTGAAGACCTACAAATATTTTTTATCTTTTGTGTTTGTACATGTAGATAATTCATTAATGATAAAAAACACAGTCATTTAGGGGCTGTATCTCAGCCCCTAATGGAGGGTAAAATATGATTTATATATTCATACATGTTTGAATGTGCATGAAGAATAGTGTAAAAGGATATATACCAGCTTGATGAGCATCTTCTAAAGGA